CGCCTTCCTGTCCCCCCTGCACGTGTCCTTACCAAGAGCTGCTTGGGGATGACGGCGATGCTGACTCTGCGACGCGCAGACCCCTGCAACCGAGTGGCTGGGGGTGAGCCTCGTGCTCCACAACCCTCCCCAGAAGGGGAAAAGGGACAGCGAGGGGGAGAAGGGGCACTGCCAGCCTCCCACCAGCCCTGGCACTATGGGGAGAACCCAGGGAGCTGGTGAGATGAGGGAGGGGCAAAGCCAAGAGGGTTATGCCTGGTCTTACTGCTTCACGCGCAGACCCCTGCAACCGAGTGGCTGGGGGTGAGCCTCGTGCTCCACAACCCTCCCCAGAAGGGGAAAAGGGACAGCGAGGGGGAGAAGGGGCACTGCCAGCCTCCCACCAGCCCTGGCACTATGGGGAGAACCCAGGGAGCTGGTGAGATGAGGGAGGGGCAAAGCCAAGAGGGTTATGCCTGGTCTTACTGCTTCAAGCTGGCGGGGCTTTTTTTCTGCCTAACCCCCTCTACCTCGCTCTTGAGCTGTAGGAGAATCGGTGCCGAATTCGAGCTGGTGCTAGAGAACAGCTGAGCCTGCGGCTCTCACACTATGACCCTGCAGTGCAGAGGGACCTGCCCTGAGGTCTCCTGGACAAGCAGCCCCAGCCCTGGGCACCCCGTGTCCCTGCAGCCCACCGAGGTCATCCCTACATTCTGCCTCATCCCTGGTGTTCCCAGCAGGTTTTGCCCACGGCAATCAGCTGGTGCAGTGGCATTGCCCGGGGTCCGAGCGGGTGCACGGGGACTGTCAGGCAGGTGGCAGGGCAGCATGGGGAGGTGGTGGCTCTGGGGTGCTGAACTGGGGCCAGTTACCTGCTGGAAAGTTCGCACCAGGGGGTGAGGCCTCAACCGCGGATCCGTGTCATCTGGGAGCAAAAGAGAATCAGCCTTACATCACCTCCAAAAATGAAGATGGGGCTGGTCACAGGCAATCGCCAACCTCCCATCAAGAGCAGTCCTGGCCACACGCTCTGTGCTTGGCACAAGTCACAGCGGGGCCTCGGCGGGGGGACCTTGCTTGCACACACGGTGACAGTGTGCGTGGGGTTTGGCGTGCAGGGACAGAACGTTCTTTATGTGCCCCCTGCCCCACATTCCCAGCTGGGCCACGGGACAGAGGCTCTCCGGCCGCCAGCACCTGCTCCCACGCTGCGTCTGCTGTTACACCGACCTTCATCATCGGGTCCCAGCTGTCACCCACCCCCGGCCCCCAGCTCACGCAA